ATATATATATGTATGTGTGCGTGCGTGCGTATGCGTGTGCGTGTGTGTGTGTGTGTGTGCGTGCGTGCGCGCGTGTATATGTATATATACATATATACATATATATAAATATATCGGTCGTAATGCTATGAAAATAAATTGTATGCGAATGCAGCCGTACTTTTTATCACCGCTGTGATATCTTGAGTGACATGCGGCGGAAACTGTCCCAGAAGATCAAGCACCGTGTTTTGCCGAGAATCCCTAATGCCCAAATCCACTCCGCGATCTAATAGCGCCCGTACTACTTCCATTTTGCCGCAAAGCGCGGCCTCGTGCATCGCAGTACCCGCTGATGTTCTCGTATTGACGTCAACTCCAGCAGCAAGGAGAACTTCCACGACCGCTCTGCAACAATAACGCAAATATTTCATTGCACCTTATTTTATATGTAATAAATGTACGAGACCCATAAAATGCAAGACGAATAATTTGCAAGACGGTTCCATAATTATTAAAAGTAGCCACATGTGTTATGATTACGTAAAGAAAAATTAAATTGTGTTTGAGTAGTTTTGCATTTTGTTACGCTTTTCAAGTAAAAAAATAAAGATTAAAATCCAGCTTAAAGAGTATTAAGAAACAAAGCAATAAATTGTCGGTTATAATTTAGATTTTGCGATAAATCTCGAGACCAGAAAACCAAAGCTTCTAGGTTTTACGCGATCTCGAAACGTCTGGATTCTGCGATTTCTATCCAGTGACAAGCCATTAAGACTATAAGAGATGCATTTGCTATCAGCGCCTAATCGAAATACAGATTTTGCTCTCCTTCTATCGGATATAGACTATGCACCAACTGCGATGACCGCAGCCATCCGTCGCATATAGGATTGGCGGCTGAAGATCGGATTCGCGTGCACCTATGTTGTTATTACCGTAGCATAGGGGTATTTGTATACTGGCTTACCGAGAGCATCGATATTGAATCCGATAATAGACATTACTCCGCGTCCCCCGTCCTTCCCTTCCCCCCCCCCTCCCCTCTCCAAACTGATCCCTCTCTGCCATCAGTCCTTTCGCCCATCCCCCTCCTGTTCTAGCCCCATATAGCTGGACTGGTAGATCCACTAAATATCGTGGTGCGCGCGTGAAACGCGTGCGTGAGTCCGACCATCGCAATGTACGCAACCCCCTTCTCTCATACGTGCCTGCGTGCGCGCGTACATCTACCCCAGAGACTCTCAAATTTTACGAGATGTCGCTATCTTTCGACATATTCAACAAATAGATTCGGAATGGACAGAGAGAAAGTTTAAATAGTAGTTTAAAAGAAAAAGTATAGAAAAGAAAATGTAGATAAACCTGCATGTATAAAATATAGTAGGAATATATAAGAAATGATTTTATTTAAACGTGATTTTATTTAAATATTATTGGCATGAATGTTCATAAATTCAAGTGATCCGTTATTCATGTCTGTGGACCAACAGTGGAAGTGTATGAATTCGTACAGACTTTTTATTAATGCGCTAAAATTTCCCTCATGGCGTTTTCCATATTTGCAGTTTGAGAAACGCTGATCTAGCCCAAACGTCCAAACAGCTCGTGCGTACGCGTTCGCACTCGTACAGGCGCAAACGTCTCGCGCGCCGTTATTTAACCAAAATTCGAGCGATAAAATGTCACGTTCTGCACGCTCTCTCTCTCACGCCCATCCCATGCCACTCCCGGCCAATTCTGTTGCATCCTCGCGCCGGCATCGACGGAAAATGCAGCCGCCGGACTGTATATCGCGATACGATCGCATTATAAGCGGCAAGCGCCGGTTAAAGCGATTACCGGCTGCGAGGCTGCATAGAAAAACCGGCGTTATACCCGATTACAATGTGACTGCCGTTTCGCGGCGATTCACGATTCGATTCGACCGCCAACCGGACTGTTACGATCGTCCATCCCCTCGCTGCCCACCACTCTCGTCTCCGTGGCGTCGATTATACAAAAAGCTCAGCGGAATTACGGACTAGCATCGCCCTGTTAAACGAGAACGTATCGCTCGGCACCAAATGCTAAATGCAAAATAACTAGGTAACGGAGATGTTATAACTCCATGATACTGAAATGAAATTTACTATCATCGATTTTAAGAGATTAAAGAATTTCTCACGATTATTGAGGAATATAATAACGATTATAGTCTTCGTCATTTGATCATGTGGGTTCGACATAATCGATTATCCGCTCTTCCTTCTTTGTCACCCTATTACGCGGTTCAGTTAATTGAATAATATTACACAAGATGCGTGGCTACTATTATGACATTATTTCTTCCACAGAGAAGGTTCTTCCACTCCAGTTCAATACAGATGATTTATTATTCATTAAATACATGCAGTGATATATTTCAATATAAACAGCATAAAACAGCAAGAAACCGATTTTTTTTTTTTAAGATGCAAAGGAATTTTGCCGCTTTGCCATCACGATTAATATAGGTCGGTACGTTTCGGCGGTAGTGATTAATACGATTCTCGTAATCGGGAGGCGGTCAGCAATCCGCACGGATGGACAGAACGGCTGACGGTGTGATGCGATCGGATGCATTCGCGTGGTTCGAGGAGGGACGAGAGGGCAATCGACGGAACAGTAATATGGGACGTGTAACCAGTAGAGGGTTGGATCGGATCATGCCAGTCGGAGGACGCATATATCGCATTCGACGGGATTACGTAAGCGGTGCTCTCTGATTGGCTCTAATAGCCAGCGCTGCAAATGGCTCGACATCGTTATGGTTAGCTCGAACGAATCCATTGTTGTACTCGAACACAATACATGTTGCGCATTATCCAGTAATTAGCGTAACCATTTCGCGGGAAGAAGTTATATGCAGTCCTTAGATAAACAAAAATACTCGAACGTGTGATGGTAGCGGCATTGTATTGTATAATATACTGTGCCAAATATAATTAAAACTGCTAAATTGTATGAGATAAAAAGGAAAAATAACGCATCTGCGTTTTTAAAATAATGTTTGTCTGAGTATTATTAAATATAATAAACTTGATAGTTAATTTAATGGAACTTTCTATTAATTATGAATTATTCTCTTAATATATTAATGTGTCAAATATAAATTAATTCTTACCTGTGGCCATTGCGTGAAGCTAAATGCAATGGTGTATGCGGGAAGATCAGAGATGAGGAAGAATTACGAAGTGATTCGATTAATTCAGGATGCGTTCGCACGAGTAATTCCACAGTTTCCAATCTGTAAGAAACACCACGATTACGTCACAATGATGCTTAGCATGAATTCCAATCAAAATAGTAATATAGATCACGAAATTTAATATCCGCAAATATCATGAAGTGTATATGGAAAAATATTGAGTCACTGGAAAAGATATAGTAGTTGTATGTGCGATTTACCTGCCATATTGCGCAGCGAGGTCGAGCGCGGATTCTCCGCGGCTGTTGCGGATACTAGGGTCGCATCCGTATTGCAACAGCTGTGCCACCACTTCCGTGTGCCCGTACTGTGCGGCACAATGTAATGCAGTTTCGTTATCCTTTGTCTGTAACCAAACGATATTTAGAGCTTTTTTTAGATATTACACATTAATTTGCGACATTCATCAAAGCTGCCTCCATAAATTATAAGATATTATTTCTGATAATCATAAAAAATAATTTTTTGCATTACACTTCAATAAAAAGATACTACAAAAAATACTCTGAGTGTTACAGACTTTTGAAATATATCCTAAAATAATTATTTTAACAAAACATTTTGATAATAAATATAATACTAACCGCAAGATTCACTTTTGGTACCGATGGACCTTGATTAAGAATTAATCGTACAATTTCCGCGTCCCCAGCCCAAGCTGCCAAATGAAGCGGCGAGGAACCTTTAGCATCGACGACATTGGTGGAAGCCTCATATTGGAGCAGCAATCTGACCACGTCTCTGTAAATGAATGTTTTAAGAAACATTAGAGGAAATACAGTTATGTTTAAAAAATTCGATAAAAAGGAGAACATCAATTTTAATAATCCGAAAAAGTACTAAAGAATATTTTAAACAATAATTTTTAATAATCTTTTAAAAAATATTTAAGATTGTACCTATGCCCATTTAGAGCTGCGTGATGAAGAGCTGAATATCCACTGGCGTCTTGCACATTAGCACCTGGTCCCCGACGTAAACTGTAAATAAAAATATTGCTCAATCGTACAACAGAAAATCGATTAATTTATTTTTCATATAATATAAATTGTCGAAAAATTTTTAATGTTCATTTTATTGCTTTTATTAACTCACGATAACTACCTTGAATAATTTAATTATTTATTGCAAAAATATCAGATAACGATAGGATAAATAATAAAATACAATACTTCAAATGTTTTTACAAGATAATCTTATAGGACAATTCAACAAATTTAATTCGCTGCAAGAATTAAATTTGCATTAATTATTTTTAATTTAAAAGCCATTCAATGATTCAATGTCGAATCAACCGCTGTATTTCTTAATTTTATTTCTGATTCGTAATTCGAGAAAGTGCACGACATACGGCATGAATACGCTACGCCGAAAAATCGCGATATCTGCACATTGCAGATCGTTAGATGACATAATGTGCCCCGTGAAAAGGAACAGGCTCGCTAATGAAGCTTCCTGCGTCCAACACATGTTCTCATTACGTGCCTTTGTTGCGCTCGCGCGGAGATAAATGTCGCGCCCCCGCAAACACCGTGTAAACGACGGCACCCTCGGGAAAAACGGAAGAGGTGCGCTATATAGCAGCGTTCCTCTCCGGCGACTTATGACTCCCGCCCTCTTGCCACCTTTCTGCTTCCTTTTATTGAATCGGATATCCAGATATTCCTGCAACGCTTTGCCGATAGAGGAATTTCTCGTTATCCCGTCTCTCTCCAAGTGGATTTGATTGGAGGAACGAAGGGGGAGGAAAGCCGGCGGCTATTCAGCCATCCTCGAAGCGTCGAGTATCCGCGTTCAAAGGCGCTTGAATTGACTGGATTTCGAGAATATTCAAAAAAAGATCCGAATAAAGTTTATATAAAAGTGAATTCTTTTTTTTTATTTTATTTTGCAAGATAGGAGGGCAGGTGAGACTAAGTCTCGCCGTAGAAAAGAAAAAATTAAGCGCATAATCGAAATTAAAATCTTTTAAAAATCCGTAATGAGGAATTTATTGGCGACATGAATCGAGCATTTATGCGCAGTAATGGATCAACATGAAAAGCCGCAATTAACGTTTTCATTTCACAGTAATAAAGCTCCGATGCGATCGTACGTGCCGTAAGTGCGATATTGCCTAACCGACATAGTCATCCGACATAGTGTTGTTGTAATGCTGGACACGTAACAGTAAGTTTATTGCCAACACCTAATTAACCCATTAAATACACTGCTCATTATATTCTCGTCGCGCTAGATACCGAGGTTAAAATATTACGGGCGTTAGAAAGCAATGATTTAAGAAATGTTTGCGAAAAGAGGGCGTTTCGAACATTTCGGAGATTGACAATATCGTAAAGTGATACATCTTGAAAAAATAAAATAATTCGCAACCTGTACAATGTATTTTTATACAGTATGCTATACATTTATATTCGCATCAAAATACGTCTTAATGAGAAATGTTATTAGGTAGCATAATGTTGACATTAGACGACTAATAAATGCTACAACTCGAGCACGGTATTTGCACAGCTCTTATATATCTTCGATATGAGGAGTGAAGCGCAAAAATATATATGTATGTACATTTCACCCTTAGTCTATCGTCTAGAAGATAAACCTATATCTACTATCAGGAATTATGAATTCTTTTACCGATACATTTTTAATATAATAAATGCTCTCT